TAAAAACAATGTGTTTTTTTCCAGCTAGCTCGGACTCAGCCTGGCCCGCTGGGCCAAGGTCGACAAAGACTAGGCCCTTGACCAGCCTGGACCCCTGGTCAAGGGGTTTGACCGGGCTGGGTCCGTGCCGGGCCAGGTGGCCCGTGGCCAGGTCTAGTTGTTTATTGGCTTTTAGTTTATAATTATGTAATTTTATTTATAAATTCTATTTTTAAAAAAGAAAAATAATTGTGCCTTTGTCATGATTAATCTAATTGTAACCCGGGCCCAAAACCTGTAAGGGTACGTTCGTCATTCGGTCCTTCACGCCTTTACGAGAGGCACAGTTGGGGTGGGAATGAAAATAACTACGACGCAATAATAATAATAATAATATAATATAATAATAATAAGAAAAAGCGCAGAGAGAGAGAGAGGATCAGAATTTCAACAGTAGTAGTGGATCTCTTGAAAATGGCTGACGGAGGGCCATCAGCGCCGCTGCCGGGGATGGAGGTTACCGACCATCAACTCGCGGAGGCCCTCGACTCTCTTCTCCGCGGTGCCAACTCCTTCACCTCCCTCAACGGCGTCGTTCAGCAGCTCGAATCCAATTTGGGCGTCCATCTGGGCCACAAACTCGACTTCATTCGCACCCAGATCCACCATTACCTCATCCTCCGCTCTCAGCCCCACCAGAATTTCATGCCCCACCAGCCGCACAAAGACCTCTTTACCCTCCCCAATTTCCATCCCGCTCCTTCCCCAAACTTCGCCGCGCACCTCCCCGCAGACGGGTACGGCTTCCACCCAACGCTGCCGACCCCGTCTCAGCCTCCGCCTCCACCTCCTCCTGCGCCTGCGTCGGCTGTCACGGTGGCGAGCATCCCCGGTGTCACCGCCAATGTCAAAGAAAGGTGGCTTTCTGTCTGTCTTTCTTTCTTTCTTTCTTTTTTTCAAGAAAAAAAAAAAATAGAGTTTGTTTGGTTGGTATGGATAATTCCTGTTGCCTGGGGAAACTGTCCCTTCCATTTGCTGGGACATTGACTGCAAGTTGATCGGGGGTACAGCTGTATCTACTTGAAAGTTTAATGCCTGTATCTTGTGCTGCTGAAATTCATTCTTCATCAAAAGGGTACTCCCTTTTCAATTGTATGTTACAGAATGAATAAATTACTATCTGTTATAGTTATGTTATGTTCTTCATTCTTGCTAGTCTTCATTGCAATACATTATATTTATACATTGATTCTGATAGTTGGTTTTGCAATGGCGTGGAATTAATCAGCATCATTATCAACTTTTCCGAGAAGTGTGAAGAGGAATGTTCACCTTTTGCTGCAGTATACTTCTGTAGGATTCCACCAATGTTATAGTGAATGAAATCAATTCTCGTAGTACAGAGATGGTTGTTCCGATTCTTATTTGGTTAGTGCTTGCATATTTGATATTGGTAAAGCGTAATCTTCAACCACACAACTAATCGTAAAATCAGAAGTTCTATATTCTAGCTGATTGTGGGTCATTGAGTATCACGTATTTGCTTTTGGATTGTTTCTTGTGTTCTATCCATGAACAGAACCTTGCAATCGCACCAGTTGCCAGGACAATGGTTAACTAAAATCTGAACATTCTTTTACTGTAGCTTATATTGACTTGGTATGTATATGTGCACTACTTTGTTCCAGTGCTCCATCAGGGAAAAAGAGGAAAGGTGGTCCAGGAGGGTTAAATAAACTGTGCTGTGTTTCTCCGTTGCTTCAAACCATTGTGGGCCAGCCAACCTTGCCAAGGACTGAGGTTAGTGGACCTTTTTTTTTCTGAGGGTTAAATATTTTTTTTTTTTTCATTTACTAAAACAAGTGCTTTTTGCAGATTGTGAGACAGTTGTGGGCTTACATAAGGAAAAACAATCTGCAAGACCCGAGCAATAAAAGGAAGATAATTTGCAATGACGAGCTCCGCCTGGTGTTTGAGACTGATCGTACTGACATGTTCCAGATGAATAAATTGCTAGCTAAACATATAACTGCACTTGATCCTACAAGTATGCATAAGACTGTTAATTATGTATTTACTTCTGAGTTCTGATGGCTTTATTTCCTGCATGTGAATAATATAAAATATGTTACTCTCTTTCTGGTTTGCAGAGCAGGCAGATCAATGTACTAAGAAACCTAAGGTTGATGTAGAATCTGGGAGTCAAAGTGATGACCCTGTTCCAATTGTGGTGATATCTGATGCACTTGCCAGCTTCTTTGGAACCAATGAGAAGGAGATGTCACAATCAGAAGTGTTAAGGCAAATCTGGGAATACATAAAGGTTAACCAACTTGAGGTGTGTAGCTTTTTTTTTTTCCATTTATTTTACGTCCACTTAATTTTGAAATTATTAAGCTTGAGTGACTAGACTAGTTGCTAATAATTCATAAGTCATTTTTTTTTACTATAATTTTGAGATTCAGCCGACTCGTTAATCTCCCATTCAACTTCGTCGTTTTGTTAAATTAGTCGTGCATACATTGACACAAAACTATACTTGAGCGCTTTCACTTGCTGGTGATTGATTATGAGATTCAGCTGACACATGAATTTTTGCATTATATTCCATTGTTCGTAAATTTGGTCGTGCATAAGGAAGTTTACGTGAGCGCTTAACACAGTTACACTTGGTGTTGGTGACGTGTCCTGCAATTTATTGCCTAGGAGTTGATTTATGGGACTTCTGTGCGTAATTATAATCTGATTAAGTTTGCACGTGCCATATGCTACACAAATTGCAACTTCATACCTCCCCATCAGAAATGTCATTATTATCTATTATGTTTTAACTCTAACCAAAGATATGTGTACATATCATTATATCCATATCTTTTTTGGCTGGTTCTTTGCTCGTTACTTCACACCATTAAGTTTCAGTTTGACCTATGCCGCCATATACATACTGGGAAAATACTTCTTATCCACTATATGCCCCCGGAAAATTATACTACAGCTGTGATAAATGTTGTCTTCTTTCATTCTGAAGATGCTATGGGTAAAAGCCACACAATAAATAAATAAATAAAGTATATGTATCTTCGATAGTTTTAGCACATGTGTTTGCTTCTAGCTTTCTCTTTTATTGAAGACTCTCAGGTACACCTGTTGCCCAATAACCAATTCAAAATATTTTGACTTGTTAATTTGATTTGTTGGTCAATTTGAGGCATGAAGTTATATTTTAATCATTTAATGCACGAGAGTCGAGTTATAGTCCGTGTATTCCTGTAGATGCCGGAGTGATATGTTTCTGCTGAAACAATTGGAAGTAATCTTCTGTTACTTTTGCGATTGCAATGCCGAGTTTTTACACATTTGTGTGCAAATAACCTACTTTAATAACTTAAATGCCTTTTCCGCTTGGCTTATATTTTTATAATATTTTTCTGTTCTATTCTCTCATTATACTTTTTTGATTATAATGTACTTTTTCAGTATTATGCTTCACATCGGCTGTCTCGTTTCATATGCTCCAGGATCCTGCGAATTTGACAGCCATCTTATGTGATGCGAAATTACAAGAGCTTCTTGGTTGCGAGAGCATTTCAGCATTAGGGTTACCTGAGATGCTGGCACAACGCCACTTATCCAAGAAATCATAGCCGATTTGCTGACTGGTTAGTGAAAGGTACGAATTGCTTCTTTTTGACTTGTCCGTAACAGAGGTTTTTAGCATGCTTACATGTTTAATCAACTTGTTGGTGTTTTTCCTTTCAAGTCTGTTATAGCAAAATTTAGAAAGCCTCTGTGGATTGAAAATTCTATGAGAACGATTATACGACAGAAAACCTGTAAAACCCTAAAACCGGAAACTCAATTGTATCTAATGGCGATTTGCTGATGGTTTATGTTGTTAACTATTTTTTGCAGGTAAATGATGCTAATGCTAACTTAGTGTGTTTCGACTTCATCTGGAAAAAAAGGTTTCTTCGACTTCGAGTCGTTTAGGGTTTTATTACGACATTGGGTGGTCGAAAATGACGAGGTAGGTAATTAATTATGGGATAAACTGCTCTCTTTGGCTAACTGATAAACCTTTGCTTTTTACATGTATTTGCATATGAAAACATATCTATGCTGGGTGGCTTTTCCAGTGCATTGTAATATTCTGATGCTTAGGAGATAACATTTCATATGAACTAATTAGCTATTGTTAATATTAGCTGCAAAAGCAGTGTGCTTGTTAACTTATTTTAAATTGCTTTTTTTTTTTTCATTTCAGTTTTTATTTATTTATTTATTTCTCTATTTTGGTTATGAAAAAAAGCTCATCTGCCCCTTTTGTTTCATTTGTTATTACATGTTTTTATTGAGTATAGTAGTGAGTGTACAAATGGGGAAATGCTACCGTCACGTTACGGAATCATTCCGTCGGAGTTTGTAACCATTAGATCATAATGTAACCATCGAGGATAATTGATCTACCAGTTACAAACTCCGACGTAATGATTTCGTAACGGAACCGTAGCATCTCCCCTACAAATGATCCTTGTATGAATTATAAGTAAGGGGGTTTATTCATTCCTTATTCTCAAAGACTTTTTGATAATTTTAAGAATCATGAGGCATTTAACATGGACTTTTTTAAAACATTTTTAAATGTTTAGTGATATTCATTTGAAATGTTAAAGTCTTAAGGTATTTAATTTATTTATTTATTTATTTATCATTTTGATTTGTTTAATTTTATTTATTTATTTTTTTTTTTTGTATTTACTAAGGATTTGTAACCAAATTATATTAATGTAAAATTGCAATTTCACTTGTAGATTTATGATTTCCATTTATTCCACTTAAATGGACAGTAAGGTAAGTTTTTGCCCAGTCAAATTCAAGGACAATTCATGAACTACAACTATTATATGATTTTATTTTTGGTGTAATATTAGACCATCTCCAGTCTTTATCTCTACAGTAGTGGAGAGTTTACTCTACTCTAGAGTAGAGTTAGCCAAAAATCAAATTCGACTTCCAACCGTTCGCGCTACATTTTACTCTACATATATTATTCATATTATTTTAACTTATTTAATTTGTCAAAATATTATTTAATTGAACATATTATTTTATAAAATATAATATATCATGATATTAGTTGGTCTTCCATTAGTTTGAAATATTGTTCCACAAAGAATTATTTTTTTATATAATATTTGATTTATTTTATAGTAATTCAATATAAAAATATATTTTTAAATAATAATATTTTCTATATAATTCTCAAATTAAATTATAAATTTAATAGTAAAAACTGTCAAATAATGAATTTTAAGATAAATCAATTGCATATAATAAAAAAATAAAAAAAACAAATAAAAATTGTAGAGTAATGAATAGTACCGCGCCAGATGTAGCGCAATACTGTTCATAACTCTAAAGTAGTGCAGAGATGTATTGCTCATAATTCTAGAATAGTGCAGAGATGTAGCGCAACGTTTTTTAGCGTAATACTCTACAGTAGCGCAACACTGGAGATACTCTTATTAAAACTCCATAATTAGTACAATCGATTATATGATCCATATATTATGGACAAGCACCGAAAGTAATATGCACGTGCCCCCACTTGAAAATATTCCCCACAACTTCACGGGCTCCTAAATCACCCCCATTTTTAATCATCCAAAAGAAATATTAAAAATTAGAGCAAATTCGAATAAATTACTAGTCATGTATGGTTCACTATCCAAACTTTTGCGTCTTCTTCGAATTGCATTTCTTATTTTCATCTCGTACATCTACAAAAAAAATATTACAAAAATGTCATTTTATACATAATGAACGAAGTTGGAACTATTTATTTTTTTTGCAAATCATAAAGGATCTTTTCGTTTCGAAAAAAGACATTTTTGTGACATTTTTACAAATATATTAAACAAAAATAAAAAGATACAATTCAAATAGGACGAAAAAGTTAAAATAGTTAAACATACATGACTAAAATTACATTTTACTCCAGCCAAATTATTCGGCATTTAGACTAAACATCGTCGCCAAAAAGTTCACGTGATCGCTAAATCCACAAAACAATACACATTCCCTCCCTCCCCTCCCCTCCCCTCCGCATTATAAATAAAAGCAAACACTGGGCATTCACAAAACATCAACAATCAGAATCAAAGAACTAACATGGGTGCAGTAATTAAACCAATCATCAACACACTACTTTTCGTGCAGTTGCTGTCGCTATTGCTCACGGAGGCTAACGTCTTGCCATCTTCCGTTTGCAGCATCAAACTGTCGGAGTTGGCAGAGTGCTTTCCGGCTATAGCCGGTGGTACGTCACCCACCGTCAAATGTTGCAACGTCTTGCACAAAGCGAAATTATCGTGCTTGTGCGCCTACAAGAAAGACTTCGCTAAGTATGGCGTTGATCCTAAAAATGCCTTGGCATTGCCCAAAAGGTGTGGGATTAAGGTTCCAAGGGCGTGTACCTTTTCTTAACTTGTTGTCTTTCTTTAGCCTACATTAAAATTATT